AAGTTTTAAGAGGGAGGAAATAATAATGATAGGAACTATAAATAAATGAGAAAACATGTCATGAAATTTAAATAAATGTGCCAGGAGCTTGATATTTCAAACAGCTAATTAAAACAGGCAAAACTGTCAAACAGAAAGTTTTAAAATGTAGAAAAATAGGAGACACTTAGGATGTGAACTATAGCAGCAAATTTTATTTTTTTATTTTTATTTTGAGAGATAGGGTTTCTCTTATCACCCAGGCTGGGGTACAGTGGCATGCTGTGCCTCACTGCAGCCTCGACCTCCCAGGCTCCAGAGACCCTCCCACCTCAGCCTCCCAAGTAGGTGGGAACTACAGGCGCATGCCACCATGCTCGGCTAATTTTGTTTTGTTTCGATTTGGTTTTGGTAGAAACGAGGTCCCACTATGTTGCCCAGGGTGGTCTTGAACTTCCGGGCTAAAGTGATCCTCCCGCCTCAGCCTCCCAAAGTGCTGGAATAACAGGCGTCAGCCACCGTGAGAGGCAGCAGATCTTTTATTGAACTTAATCTGCATTAAGTGGCTGCTTGTGTCAAACAATGTTTTAGATTTCTAAAAATAATCGTAAAAACATTCCATGTAGGACTGATGGTAAAAACAGCTATGCCCAGGGCAGTTTTGTTTAAAAATATACTACAATGGAAAAGTGAAAAAGTTGGCTAAAAGTAAGGATGACATTAAAATAACTATGAAGATAATCCCCTCCCCTTGTTTAACACCGAGACCCAAGAGTTATGGATAAATTCTATTTTTATGTAGAAAAATGATTCTAAGTTAGAGAAGCTGATTCATACACAGAACACATTCAAAACCACCTCACAAAATGATTTCCAAGCTATCATCCAATCTCCATTCCCAATGGAGACAGAGATCAAATTCTTGACTCATGATAAGGACTCAGTAATGTGATAAAAGAATAATGTACCAATTAGGGCTTATCACAGGGAGCTAAGGATTGTTCAATATGAAACAATCTAAAAATAGCATCCACCCCATCAATAGCTTAGGGGAAAAAAATCATATGATCATTTAAAAATACCAAAAGGCATTTGAAAACATTCACTACCACCCTCCAAAGACAAAATGGAACAAAGGGAATGCAAAAATATTTCTCCAACATGCTGATGAGGATTCTAAAGTAAGACCCGGTATTAATATGATAATCAGCAGAGAAGTACTAGAGATGCACTCGAAAATCAGGAGCCAAACAAGCGTGCCTGGCCAGTCCCCACCACGATATTTTAGAACATGGGGGGAAATGCCACAGGATAGACAGGGAAGCAAGAGGGCACGTGTTACAATGCAGAGACAACGGCACTCTTAATAACTGAGGCTACGGCTTGACGAAAGCAAACAGCACATACAAGAAAAGCACTGAAAACAACAAACGACAAACTGCATTTCTACAAACAAAAACCAGTGAGGAACTACACAAGCACAAGAAATGCCCATCACATCACACCTGGAATCCCAGCAGGTGTGGGAGGCCGAGGCAGCAGATCCCCTGAGGTCAGGAGTTTGAGACCAGCCTGGCCAACATGGTGATGAAACCCCATCTCTACTAAAACTACAAAAATTACCCAGGAGTGGTGGTGGGTGCCTGTAGTCCCAGCTACTCAGAAGGCTAAGGCAGGAGAATCAAACCCAGGAGGCACAGGATGCAATGAGCTGACATTGCATCACTGCACTCCAGCCTGGGCAACAGAGTGAGACTCTGTCTCAAAAAAAAAAAAAAAAAAAAAAAGGAAAAAAAAGAAATGCCAATCACGGATGCAACAACCTATCATCACCACGACTGCCAAAAAAACCAAAGACCACCCCTGACATCATACGCATATGATTTCCGAGAGCAAGATCTCTAAAACCGGTCTAACTTGTATCGGTAGACACTGATGGAGAACTCTGTTATGTTCCTGAAAAGTCTGACTAAAGACTAAGATGCAACCATGGATGTTATGAATGCCTCACAGCATGGCTAGGTCATGGGCCCTTCTAAGGTGAGAAAACCCAGGCTCAAGGAGGTGATTTCCATTTCCCAGGGTCACCCGTGAGCATATGGTGACCTCACACCGCCTGTTTGGAGCAGAGCTGGGGTTGCCACCCTTGTCTGGGTGACTCAGAAGCCTGGGATCTTTCCATGCTACCTTCTAATCCACCGCCTACACCTTGATACTCTGGGATATCAAACGATATTCTACAAAGATTAATAATTGGAGGGAGCAGGTCTTACATGGTATTAAAATATACTCTAAAACGGCAAGACTCAAAACAGCATGATACTGGGACAGAAATGGAAATGTGGAATCGTGGAGGTTCCAAATGAGGCCCAGCTATTTTTAGATATATGGCAAAACAGAGACTCTCTAATACATGGCAGGAAGTAACTGAGAAGCATGGGAAAATCACAAAGAATGGGTTTTAACGTCTGGCTGAGCATACAGTAGGAACCTATTGATACAAACCAGCAGGTGCCTTTGCTCTGTGCTCTGTCCTGTATGCTCAATAGCTCAGAAGCCTTACTTTGCTCAATCTCTGAAGGATTTCATAATTCATAAGATGGATGTCTCCATTTCACAGATGGAGAAACTGAGGCTCAGAAAGGGAAATGACCAGCTCAAATCCTTCAGCCAGGTCTGGCTGGTTTTATCAGCTAAGTTCCCCGGTCTCAACTGGCAGACAGGGCTGGGCTTTTCTGGGCTCCCAAAACTCAGGGTGATGGTGGCTGCTGCCTTGAGCACCTGTGTGTCCCTCATCCTTGCATGCTCCCAGTTCCCTCACCGTGGGCCTGGACTGGTGTGCCCAATGGCTGCCCTCTGCTCCTGGTTGACTGACTCTCTAGTTGCCTCCTGGGTGTGCCTGGAGTGTCATGCTGCACTCCCATGCCTCCTGTCAGGCCCCTGACTCAGTTTCCCCTCTCATCCCAGCCAGCAGCTATGGCTGTCTGGCTGTGACTCTGTTGAGTTCGCCTTTGTGAGCCTCTGTTTCCATAGCTGTGAGATGGGGAGATGATAGTAACCACTCATAGGGTTGCTGTGAGGATTAAACCAGGTACTGAGCATTGAGAACCTGATATGGGGCCGGGTTCAGATGCATGAACTACCCCCACCCCACCCCCATCCCCAGTCTTGTAAGCCCGACCTAGAGGGTACGACACCTGTCTGGGGACCCCTTAAGGGCATAGGGTGATTGCAGCCACCTTTTCTAAGACCCCAGCCCAGGATCAGGTCTGACTCCGGGAAAATGCCTCCTGCTCCCAACCAGAGCCATTCACCATGCCATTCCATTCTCTTCCCAGTTTATCTCAGCTGTTAGGAAGAGGCCCAGGCCAAGCCCACCCCTGAGATAGGCCTCCCTGGCACCTGTCTTCAAAAATCCAGGCATCCTTAGGCAAGGGTGGAACTGAAGCAGCACTGGAGCCCTGGACCCCCTACACCCACTGACCTTCTTGGTATAGCCCATGGCCTTCAGGACAGAGTGATTCAAGGTCTCCAGGGAGGCCAGGACATCCTCATAGTCACCCATGTGGTCCACAAAGTAATCTGGGGAAGGAAAGGCAAAGGTCAGGGATCACAGGTCCTGCCCCTCCCACTCAGCACTCCTGCCCCTCCCACCTGCGCTAACCCCAGCCTCCCCTGCCTCAGGACCTTCTCCTCCAGCCCCATCCCGGCATCCCCATCTTGGTCCCAGAATAGCCAGCACCTACCACACAGCTCCTTGGTGTCTACGTGGCTGCAGAGACAGACAGAGACAGACAGAGACAGAGAGGGGGTTAGCAGGCCTGACCCTGCACAGCCTGCGAAAACACACATCCCGCCTGCTCTTTGCAGCGTGTGTGCTGGCCCCACAAGCCCCGCCTTACAGATGAGGGTGCAGCAGGTAGGTGACACCCCCACCCCTGAAGGCCCACGTCTGTCTGACCCCTGACACCACCCACCCTTCTGTTTTCTCTGAGTCTGCTGACCCCATCATGAATAAATGACACCAAGGGTAGGGCCAAGCCAGGGGCCGGGAACGGGGTAAAGGGACAGAGAGTGGGGACCCGTTACTGTGACGGGTTGTCAACAAAGCTCTCACCTGACCCACTGACCCACCCCCCGGCGACCCTGCCTGCTGGGTCCTGGAGTCCTTGGGGATGTGGCAGAGCCCTTCTTATTCTGGTCCCAGCCCCTGGGTCCCACATCCCCATTCCTGCAGCCTGGAGAAGGGTCCTGTCCTTTCCTGGGGGAGCGGGCTGAGCATGAGCCTATCCCATGGCAGTGAAGGAGGATACACCAGCCCCAAGATCAGGGCTGCAGTGCTGGAAACCATGGTGGTTCTACAGCTTAGGAGCAGATTTGATAAGCTGGGGCCCTCTGGGACCGGCTAGAGATGGTCTAGATAAGGAGCAACTGCCAAGTCAATGTGCAAGGGACCCAGTACAGTGGTGGCCCTTTCTGGGACCAGGTCCCTCCTCGTGCTCAGTGGAGCCCAGGCTCAGCAAGGCGCATCTGGACGGAAGGCTTCTGTGGCCCAGTGAATCTGCACTCGGAGGCTTTGCATGCTCCGTCAGGAGGTGCCTCCAACCTCCATCTCAAACTCAGAGTTCTGGCAAGTCCTGCAGAGAGCGACCCTGTCATTCTGCTTTAATTCGTGTTTCACAAATCTTTTTGTTAATACACTGTTTTGGGCACAAAGTCTATTTAGCATCCCCAGGAGCTAATGTCTGTGGCTCACACCTTAGGGAATGTTGAGGAGATTAATCCTGAAAGTCTTTCAGAGCTTTGACCTTCCATAACCACGAGTCCTCCCTGCACCCCCAGCCACCCACACACACTCTCACGATTCGACTCTCAAACCAGTGCCGCCTCCTCCCTCCACCTCCGCCCCCTCCTGTACCCTGCTGGCCCTAACACAAAAGGCCCTGAAAGAGAAGGTCTAAATCAATGGGCACCTGCCTGGCCCCTTCAAAGCACCCCAGGAAGCTGCAGTAACAGCTCAGAAATCTCCATCTGGCTCCAGAAAGTTCTCCATTCTGCAGTCTGCAGCCTGAAGCCATTTCTTTAAAGTGGCCTTTCCCAGAGGATGGTGTATGCTCCACTTACCACATCCTGGTGCCCAGCCAGGGCCCCCCAGGACACTCTCAGCCCCAGCCTGAGTACACTCCAAGCCCCCATTGTACTCTGCCCCTTGCACACTGGTTTTGTGGTAGCTTCTTGTCCAGACCATCTCTAGCCAGTCTCAGAGAACCTCAACTTACCAAATGTGCCCTAAGCAGCCCTCCGGACACTTGGGTCCTCATCACGCAAGTAGGCCTGAGAAAGGAGACCAAGTGGGGCTCTGAGCCCTCCTGAAGGTGGGGTTGAGGAGAGGGCTCAGACCTCATCCTGTCTGGGGAATCCCAGGAAAAGGGCAAGATTGGAGGGGAGGTTAGGAAGGATCAAGGGTAAGTCTGAGTAGAATCTGCATTTCCCACTTGATTTAGAGATGGGGTGGAGCCAGAGTTTTTCACTGATTCTGAGATGCAGGTTAGGGTTACGACTGGGTTGAAGAACAGGTTTAATACGGTATAATGGTAGATGTAGTGTTGAGTTAGGATTCGTGTTTGGTTTAACACAGGAGTCAGTGTTAGGGCGAGGTTCAACTTCACAGTTAATGTTGGAACTAGGAGGATGCACAGGCATTGGGGCTAAGGTCAGAACCGGCTGCTGGCTGAAGATGGCAGAAAGATGAAGTCATTGCCAACTTCCCATTTTCATAATCCCGTGTCCACTGTGCAAAACCGGGAGTCTCTCCTTAGTTGGCCATGTGCACTCAGAAGAGACACACTTGCGATAGTAGCCAATGCAATATGAATCTGCACATGCCCCAATCACCCCAGCCAGTGAAGAGCTGACTTCTGGATTAGCAAATTTGGGGATTTTCAGTTCTCCTGCCTCTTACAGGGGACTAGGAATGGAGACTAGATGAAAAGACGCCTCCACCACGGCCCACACATGCCCCCGCTCTGCCAACCAGGACTGAGGCTCACTTGGTGTTGTCAGAATCAATAGTGTGAAAGAGATCCTC